GCTCACTTTTCTCGACAAGAACGCGTTTTTTAAGAATAAAGTAAGAGACAGACGTGTCGGCATATATGTATGAGTATATCATATTCTTTCTTACCGGATTGATTGTTGAACTCTGCGAACAGTTCGCATCAGTGTTAACTTGTTATGTTATTTCATATAGGATTCACTTTTACATAAATTATAATGTGTGGGTGTTCAGGCTGAATGGTGGTGCAACAGTGGCTGAAGTATCGCTTCCGCAAAAAAAGAAAAAAGAAAAAAGAAAAAGAAAAAGAAAAAAAGGCAACTAAAATTGAATACCACAATTTAACTATCTGTTGTTCATAAATAATTGGTTGGCAATAATGTACACAGGCAATTCAATTGTCCTGAGATTTCTCATACGAGCTTATGGTTGCTCAAAAACTGTCTCAACAAAAGTTGGAAAACTGCATTATTTTCTGAACAACCGTATTTCAATTAGTGAGAGACAACGATTTAATGGCACGAGATTGGGTGATGAGTCCAAAAGATCATGCTGAATCTACATAGGAAAAGCTTTTGTACAAGAAAGATTACTTTTTTCTGCTTTGAAAGGTGAAATTTTATGTTAATATTGCCAATTTGTAAGCATAAATTTAATTCCTGGAGTAATTTTCAATAGGTCAGACTTCAACTTTTTGAGCTGTCATTATTATTAGAAGAAAAAAGAATCTGCATATGTTAGGGAGATGGAATCAAATTCGAAACGTTTTAAAAATATATGTGATAACGGCAGGAAAATAATTATTTATGTCAATAGAATTAGACTTTATTTAATGCTTAGCAATAGTTACATTTTCGGTCGTCTGGTGTTCAAATTTGACCTCAAAACGTGGCCTTGCTCACACGGTCGCGTCAACTGAGGTGTACCTAATTCTCAAAGGTGGCTCCTTATACTGTACTTCTTATTGCCAAGGTATAACTCTCACTTACATTTTGTGCTGACTATTTAAATAAATAAAGTAATATTGCACCAATAATCGAACTATTTTTTCAAGACTCGTCTGATATTCCAGCGTCTGCTTAATCTACAGCTAGATGTTCCTCTGACTTTCGTAAGCGGCTTATCACAGCCTCCTAATATTAAGCAATCGACACGTTTGTTCAGCAAGAACGACACACGATAACAAACTATTAGTAAAACACCAACCAATAATAAGTCTTAGCCCAAGAGTATATTGATTATAAAAAGGGCAATAAATTTCGACGCGTCTTTTTAACGAATTCCTTATACTCGTTCTCAGCCGCTCCTAGTGAATGAGTTTTTTTTTTTTTTTTAACAATTTTAGATAATAAGTTTAATTGATTTCACACTAATCGCAGGATTTAAATAATGTTATAAAATAATTAGCGCAGAATTAATCTGTTAATAATAATAATGCATTTATCAGAGAGACAGGGCACAATTCTTGGGCGCGTTATTTTTGTGTTTTATTGACACTTTTGCGACAGAACACATTTTAATGTCCATATTCGGATACTGCATGTTTTTAATAGTAAAATCGATGACGTTGAACTTCTTGTCATTGTCGATATTTACCTTGAACAATAGTAATCAGAATTTTAACTAAAAATATCTTTATTTTATATTTATTGTTCACAATTGCTCTTGATACATTAATGGATATTAATGTGTTTAATCTTACAACAAAATTTTAATTAATCAATATAAGTTGCCTAGACTTTAAAAGTAGTTATCAACTTATAACATTTGACAAGTTCAGATATTATATTATTGGTTAATCAGGTAGACGGTCATGTTACTTTCTACGGCAAATTAAGCTATATCGTTTACTGCAATGATGTCACCGAAAATGTCACGTGAGTGTGATTTATGTAATAATAATAAGGAGAAGAAACGCGACTGTTTTTACTCAAACATGTCCTCTGACAAAGGGAAGGCTCCCGTTAGACGTAATCCACCTCGAAAAGTAAACGTACAGGCCCATAGTGCGGAAATGTTCTGCCGCCGCCGGCTGAGAGAGCCAAAGCGACAGATCCCGTCACTTTGTTTTGTTTGGTTTTAGACGACGACGCTGGAAGGTTTTTAAAGTCGTTATTGAGAGGGACAAAGACATAATCGATCCCAAGGGCGCCATCAAGGAGCAGATATTCCTATAGGTGATGCGTCCGAGATATTCGGGGACAAAGAGAAGTGGGCATCAGCGAGTGTGAAGCTAGATCCGCTGGCAGTAATCGGAAAAGTGTTCGATAGTTCACCTACTAAAAAGCACATCCACGTCGTTATCGAGATCGCGACAGGTAATTATCAAGTTCCTATAGTTCCCACGGATTAACAGATGGAGGAGTCGACATAGCATTTTACCATAACGGTGTATACTATGTCACCCAATGTAAAACCCACGTAAATAAACTTGGTAATTATTATATTTATTTTTATAAAAGAATTGAACATACAGTAACGTGCAAAAGTATCCTACCGGTTGTATCATCTAAACGTACATAATAATAACTCCTTAAATTTTC